TGCCTTTAAAGCGTTGCCCAGTGCTGCTCTTTGAAAGTTGATTCAATTCGTCTGGTATTCAGTTTTGACCTTTACTAAGTAGGCATCCATTTGGACTTGTTATCATTTAATTATCTACTTAATTACAGTTTTTCTGTGTGTGTTGGTATCATCATAGCTATCTATTGAAATGTCAATTTGTTTCTTAGGTTCTTCAAAAACTGGGCAAAACCATGGAGACCAAGGATGAGCAGTTTGAGCTGTCCTTCCAGAAACTCAACAAGCAACAGGTACTTCACACTTCTGTCAGTCTGTTGGGAAACTTACGGTAAGCTTTAATAGTTTAGCAGCATTTCTTAGAGCCTCCTCACCGTAGATCTCCTTGGGTTTAGAAATCTGTTGAGACTAAACGATCCATGTTTTGTGTCTGCTGTTGAAATAAAGCCAACCCACATGTTCAGACAATCAGCTTGGCCTTGGTATGAGGAATTGAAAGTCTTCCACTCTCCTGTGGTGCAACTCGAGCTTGCAAAAGAAAAAGAGAAAGTGTGAGGGTGACATTTAGAAAGCAGCACAGTTCTCTCCAAGATGTACAAATTCAGACTAAATATAGAAGAGGAATATTTTGGTGTCTTGTTTCAAAATTATATCCAAACTGTTTGGGATTTACTCACCTAATTGTTTAACATTAGAAAAATCAAACATTTAATGTAACCAAATGCCTTCTTGAATAATGTTGCCACCAAAGACAAACAAGAATAGTTGGCGTATGAAGCGTGATCGTATGTCAGTGTTGAAGCCATAGGTGGCATTTTTGTTGGAGCACGTGCAAAAAGTTTGGTGAGCCATTTTTATTTCAAGGCTTTTCAGGTCAAACTGCTGCTTTGTGGTCTCTATTGTTCTACTGAAGGGTTAGCGGCATTAAAGCTTCTATGACATTTATAACCAAATGCCACGGCTATATTTAACGTTTAACCAGTCACTTTGACCTCAGCCAATGCTATGGCAGCAACCAGGCTTACTGATGCAGGAGGGGCGATCACAACCTATTGGGGTTTGAACCCGGCTTTAGAAATATGGAGTGCATTTTCATCAATTATTTTTGCAAGCATAAAGTGTGTTTTTTGTAAATTTGAAAAGAAAATGAAACCCAGAAATGACACTTTTCAATAAAAAAAAGGTTTTGAGAGTAAGATTTCTCAGATTCAAGATTTTTTTTTCTCATTTTGTTGTCTTTAATTTATTTTCCCTTAACTTGTTGCATGTTTTCAATTTTATGTTTTTTCAGCTTTTTTTTTTTTTTAAACAGTAATTCCTTTTGTTTCAGTTCCTTTCAATTTTTTTTAGAATGAGTTTACAAATTGCATTCTTTTTAGACTGCATTTACCAGATCACATTCTCTTCACTTCTGGAGACAGGCGTTCCACTGGAGAGAGAAGAAAAGATGCATTTCTATTGGTCTGCAGGGATGTCAACAAAAAGAGTTTTATTTGTCATCGTGCACAAGAGCAAGCGTTTATATTAGGCTTGTAGTGAAGGGGATGTAATCAATAAAATATTTTAAAAAGAATGCAAATCACAAATGTGAAAAAAATTATTTTAGTAAAAACAAATACAATTTGGGCAAAAATTTTGAAAATTTAAAAAAGAATAACTTAAAAAAATTTGAGGAAAAAGGGAAAGTTACAATTAATCTTAAAATGTTTTTTGAAATGAATTCTAGGATTGCTTCTATTTTTCTTGTTTACAAAATGTGCAGTTTGCTTGCAACTATAAAGGAACAAAAGTCCCTCCATACAGAAAGGGAAAGAATGAGAGTTGAGGTTATGTGGAATGGGGAATGGTTGAAGGTGATGGACAGATGGACTGGTTAGTTTCCAAGTTTGAAGTCATTTTGCTTCCCATCCAAGAAGTTGAAATGAAAAAGCTTCCTGAGAGAAATATCAGCTGTGCTGCTGCCATCAACACCTTTGTTTATAGATGTTGGAGATCGGCCTGTTTTTCCAGTGTAGTCCTGTTTCTGTGACTGTGACTGGCTGGATGTGCTCTCTTCATCCGCGCTCGTCTGTGTGTTTCCTGGTTCTGCTTCAGGTTTCTTCCTTTTAAAAGGGAGTTTTTTTTTTTTTTTCTCTCCACTGTTGCTACAAGCATGCTAAGTGTGAGGGATTGCTTTCGAGTCAATGAGTCAATGCAATCAGCTGGTTTTCCTTAGATAGAAAACTGAATCAATCGGACTGTATGATCTGGTAAACTATAAAGTACCTTGAAATGACATTTGTTGTGAATGGAAACTGAATTTTAAAACATCAAGCTGTGTAGCAAGCTGAGACTTGGTCCGGACCAATTTTCATTTCAGTTGGTTTATATAGCTGCAGTTAACAACACTTCTCAACGCTCTACAGACACAATTCGGTCAGATTAGTTCAGTGTTTTGTTTTTTTTTATCTAAGGAAAACCAGCTGCTTGGATCCAGTCACTGACTTTGCAGGATTAAATCCCACTGGATGAGCATGTAGAGATCCTGCAGCAATTCCTCACACCAAGCATGATGTTAAAGAAGGAAAAAACTCCCTTTTAACAGGAAGAAACCTCCAGCAACACCAGGCTCAGTGTGAGCAGCCATCTACTGAGGCCGACTTGTGGTTCTGGCTAGGAAAGAAACAGTTAACCCTGAAACAGTTTTCATGTCAAAGGAAGAAGGAGAGCACATTCAGTTTGTCCCTGTAAATAGCAATGTCTAGGAGAGAAAAAGGGACTAAACACTGAAAGGCTGGCCCAACTATTATGAGCTGTAACTGCAGGGGTTTGATGGCAGCAACTCAGCTGATACCCCCACACAGCCAGTGTTTCCGCTACAAGTAATTAATCTTGGTGAACCACCACAGCAAAATAAAAGCAGTCACTTTCTTAAAGGCATACTATGCAACATTTTTCAGTTAATTAATGTGTTCCATAACGTTTTGGA